TTCCATATTCTTTTCCAGCACCACAATTTGAATGCATTGATTCTTCATTAAATGTCTAACTTTCACATGTATATGAGGCAATTGAAAATATCATGGCTTGGATCTGGTGCACCTTAGTCCTCAAAGTAAAATCCTTCTTCTTCAATACTCTTGTCCAAGACATCTTGTACAGCAGATTTACCTATTAGGTCTTTTGATTTCTTAACTGCTGCTTCCATGAGCATTGATTGTGGATCCAAGCAAGAAAAAACCTTAACAACTTCAACCTTTTCTCCATTTATCATGATTGTACCTATTGGTCCAGTTGTAAGGATTCTGGTCTTCTTTACATTGAGCTATATACTCCATACTGAAGCCTGTAGTCCTTAATCTTCATCAGTAAGTGCTTCAAGTACTCCTCACTTTCAGCAAACAAGGTTGTGTTGTCTTCATATCATAGGTTGTTAATAAGCCTTCCTTCAATCCTAATGTGGCATTCTTCTTCATATAACTCAGCTACTTTAATTATTTGCTCAGCATACAGATTGAGTAAGTATAGTGAGAAGATACAACCTGTTCTGATTTTAAACCATGCAGTATTTCCTTGCTCTGTTCTCACAACTGCCTCTTGATCCATCTACAACTTCTGCATGAGCACAATGAAGTGTTCTGGAATTCCCATTCTTCGCAAGGTTATTCATAGTTTGTTATGATCTACAGAATCAAATGCTTTGGCATAGTTGGTAAAATATCTTTCTGGTGTTCTCTGCTTTCATGCTAAGATCCATCTGACATCAGCAATAATATCCGTTGTTCCATCTGTTCTTGAATCTGGCCAGAACATCTGGAAACTCCCTGTCAATGTACTGCTGCAACCACTGTTGGGTGATCTTCGACAAAATTTTACTTGCATGTGATATTAGTAATATTGTTCTATAATTTGAGCATTTTGTTGGATCACCTTTCTTTGGAATGAATATAAATATAAATCTCTTCCAGTCAGCTGGCCAAGCAGTTTCTTCCAAATTTCCTGGCATAGATGAGTGATTCCTGTGCTTCATTAGCTTGTTGAACATTTAATTGGCATTCCATCAATTCCTAGAGCCTTGTTTTTGAATAATACTTTCAGTGCAGTTTGTATTTCTTCTTTAGCTACCATTGGTTCTTGGTCATGTGCTACCTCCTGAAATAGTGGAATGCTGATAACATCTCTTTGGTACAGTGACTCTGTGTGTTCTTTCCATCTTCTTTTGATGCTTCCTGCATCATTCAGTATTTTGCCCATAGAATATTTCAATATTGCAACTCGGGGCTTAATTTTTTCCTTCAGTTTTTTCTGTTTATGCTATGCTGAGTGTATTCTTTCTTTGAGGTTTCCTAACTCTAGGTCTTTGTACAATTCATTATCATATTTTCCTTTATATTCTTGAGTTGTCCATTGAAATGTTCTATTTAGCTTATTTCTTCCATTTGCCTTAGCTACTTTATAAATAAGAGCAAGTACAGGTTTCTTCTGACATCCACTTTGATCTTTCTTTCCAGTCTATGTAATGATCTTTTGCTTTCTTCATGAATGATGTTCTGGATGTCCTCCCACAGCTTATCAGATCTTCTGTCATTAATGTTCAATGCAGCAATTCTGTTCTTGAGATATTCTGTTTTCCAAATCCAGGTGGGCTAGACTCAAGGTTGAATTTTGGCTCTCTTGGACTTGTTTTCATTTTCTTCAGCTTTATTCTGAACTTATATAGGAGCAATTGATAATCTATCCCACAGTTACCCTGGCCTGGTTTTAGCTGCTGATTTTGAGCTTCTCCATAGTCTCTTCCCATAGGTGTCAATTTGGTTTCTGTGTATTTCCTCTGAAGAAGTCCATGTGTAAAACAGCTACTGGCGATGTTGAAAAAAGATTATTTGCTATGAACAAGTCATTGGTCTTGCAAAATTCTACCATGCGATTTGCTTTGTTTCTATGACCCAAACCAAAATTTACAACTACTGTTCCTTCCTGTTTCCATTTTTGCATTCCAATGGCCAATAATCACCAATACATCTTGATTGCATGTTTGATCAATTTCTGACTGAAGACAGCAGAATTCTTCAACTTCTTCCTCACTAACTTATGTGGTTGGTGCATAAATCTGAATAATAGTTATATTGATTGGCTTTCCTTAAAGTTGGTTAAATATAATTCTATCAGAAACAGCAATATACTTCAAGGTAGATCTTGAAGTGTCATTTCTGACAATTTATGCAATGCCATTCCTCTTGATTGCACTATGTACAGCATAGTAAACCGTATGATTTTCTGATTCAAAATGGCCAATACCAGTCCATTTCAGTTCACGATACTGAACTTTATGAGGCCATAAAGGTGACAGCCTTGGGAAACCCTGTGGAGCAGTTCTCCCTGTCCTTTATGCAGGGCCACCAGGAGATGGAATCAACTGGAAGGTACCCAGCAACATCAGTTCGACAGTTCCTCCAAAATTTCCCCCAATTAGTAGGTTGTCTCTTTACTTTGTTTAAAGTCCTTTGATGTACGCCCCCGCCTCATTTTTAAGCCCCCTTTTAATAGCTCATATTATTGTAGACTCTTGGATAGTTTTTAAATCATCAGTGCGTTTAAAGTTAAATTAAAAAATAATATTTATTTAAATGTAAAAAATATTTTGTCCAATTCCTAATCCATTTTCAAGCAATTATCTTTGCTCAAAAAGTTTATCATAGGAAATTAGCCTGTCCATTTGCTTAGATGGTTTTAATTTGATCAATTTCGACTTAGGGGGATTTTAATTACTACTCCAGGGAGCCCTGGTAGCGTAGGGGTTACGCGTTTGGCGACAATACCGAGGATGAGCTGATGAAAACTACCAACCGCCCCCTCCCCCCCTCCAAAGAGGGGCTTTAGGAGGTCGGGTCTGGGACCCTCACTGGGGCAAATTCTACTATCCTACAGACTCGCTATGAGTCGGCATCGACTCGACGGCAGTGCGTTTGGTTTTTGATTTTTATTGACTACGTTGCCATCTACCAGACTCCCAGGACCCAATCACGCGCGCCAATAGGGCAGTCCATTTGAAGGTTCCCTGGCGTCCTCCCGGGAGCCCGTCCTTTCCCAAGTCCCGTCTCGCGAGATCTTACAACCGGAAGCGAGTCCTGGCAGGAGCGTAAACCCGGCGGCGGCTCCGCTCCTGTTGGCGGGCCTCGGTTGGCCTCTGGGAGCGTCCGGTCTGGAGCTGGACTAGGTGTCCTGCGGGCACTGCGACCTCGGCGGGAGGATGCGGGTGGCGGTGGCCGGCTGCTGCCACGGCGAGCTGGACAAGATCTACGAGACGCTGCTGTGGGCCGAGCGGCGGGGCCCGGGGCCGGTGGACCTGCTGCTGTGCTGTGGCGACTTCCAGGCTGTGCGCAACGAGGCCGACCTGCGCTGCATGGCCGTGCCGCCCAAGTACCGCCACATGCAGACCTTCTACAGGTGAGCCGCTGCGCGGGGCCGAGGCCGCGCGCCGGGCCCGACGGCCGGCCCCGGGGCACCGCCTGGACGCCTTGTCCGCCCTCGCTTTCCGTCTTTGTTCGCGCCGTGTCTTCACGGCCCGGCGCCCAGCACATGCCCCTTTCATTCACCTTCACCTGCCATGGCAGCCCGGGGCCAGTGATTGTGAGCTCCGAGGGAGAAACTGACAGATGGCTGCCTTGGTTCTTAGAACTTTGGTACTCGTTCATTTGATGATACAAGAACTTAGTAGATGCCTGTTACATGCTAGTCCCGGTTTAGAAGTAAATCCCACCGAAATTCACCTCACTCAATTTACACGGGCTTGAAACTTTAAGCGGCAACTCTTCATGCTCATGGACTAGGGTGGAACTGGGCAATTCATCTAGACAGGACTTGAAACTTTTTCCTGATGTGCTCAGATGTTTTCCATGTTTCTTAATGTGTTTTGTTGCCTTTCGCTGTGCCTCATGATGATCACCGACATACCCTTCGATTGTAGGTATTATTCTGGAGAGAAAAAAGCCCCGGTTCTCACAATCTTTATCGGAGGAAACCATGAAGCCTCAAATCATTTGCAGGAGTTACCATACGGCGGTTGGGTGGCACCAAACATTTATTATTTAGGTATGTGTTCCTGTGTGATTTTTTTCAGTTCGATGGGATGGGAGAGCTTGTCAGGATATGTAGACAGACCACTTAGGCAGCATTTGGAGTTACATGGTGTTTTGGAATTATAGTTTAAGTAGTAAATCATGAAACTGTGCCCATGCTTTCTGTACTGTTTGTTTGTTTTTTAAACAGTGGTTCATGTTTAAGGAGCCTTGGTGTCGCTATGAATTAGATGCTCAGCTGCTCATCACAAGGTGGCTGTTAAGCCCAGCAGCCACTTGAGGGTGAAAGCCGAGGCTGCTCCCCCAGATTCAGTCTAAGAGACCTAGTAGAGCAGCTGTGCTTTGTCTATAGGGTCACTTACTGGGCGTCAGAACCAACTGTCTTGCTGGGGGCTTGGTTTGGAAAATGTCTAGCCGCAAAGACCCTATACACTCTGTAGTCTCTTACTTTTCCTTACTCTTTCTATTAAATTAAAATAAACCTTTAAACTTTTCCAGAAGAGAATTGTTAAGCATGCACAAAAGTAGAAATTAGTGTAATGATCCACTGTACCTGTTTCCCAGCGTCAGCAACCACTATATTCCAAAAGGTGAAATTGTCAGATGATGACCAATCAGAAATGAGATAGAGAAGGCACAGGTTCTTTACACCCTATACCTGCTGACTTTGAGTTCTGCAACACCTCAGTCTATTCTAGGAGGTTTTCCTCTATTTACCTCATCATATACCCATATTCAGTTAAGGTACCATTACGTATTTTCCTCTAATAAACCAAACCAAACTCTGCCATCAAGTCAGTTCCTACTCAGCAACCTAGTAGGACAGAGTAGAACTGTCCCCATGGGTTTCTGAGATTGTAACTCTTTACAGGAGTAGAAAGCCTCATCTTTCTCCCATAGAGTGGTAGTTTCAAACTGCTGACCTTGTGGTTAGCAACAGAATTTGAATCTGCTGTGCCACCAGAGCTTCTTTTTCCTCTAATACCTGAACATAGTTTTTATGTGGTCTCTTGGCATTTATTCCTTAGTTTCTACATAGTCTCTTGGCAGATTTGCTTTCAAGTTCCACTCTTCATCCCTAAACAAACCCATACCAAACCCATTCAAACTCGTAGCAACTCTGCAGGACGGAGTAGAACGGCCCTATAGGGTTTCCTAGGCTGTAATCTTTATAGAAAGAGGCTGCCACATCTTTCTCCCACAGAGCATCTGATGGATTCATACCACCAACCTTTTGATTGACAGCCAAGTGCTTATTCACCTTCTCTAGTCTACTTTGTATACTGTTGACATCTCATATTGTGGAATGTAACCTTATTGTGATGCTTAATTTTAAAATAATTGTAGGACTGCATGGCAATCCAAGCCTCTGAATGGTTAATTCAGTTAGCCAAGAGTTCACTTTTTCATTTGCCTATAATGATTTTCTTAAATTGTGTGGGGTTTTTTTTTTTTTCAGGTTTGGCAGGCGTGGTAAAATACCGAGGCGTAAGAATTGGTGGGATATCTGGAATCTTTAAATCTCATGACTACCGAAAAGGTATTGTTATTCTGAGAATTATTTATGTACATTAGGATTTACATGACAAGGGTAACTTAAGCATAATACAGTTTGACTATCATTTTTCATTGGAAAAATCATTTTACACATACCAAATAGAGAGAACCATATCTCAGTATACATCATTCAGTTTTATCTCAAGATATTAAAACTAAACTCACTGTTATTGAGTTGATTCCAAAATACAGCAGCCCTGTAGGGCAATAGAACTGCCCTATACGGATTCCAAGGCTGGAATCTTTAAAATCGCAGATTGCCACACCTTTCCCTCATAGAGTGGCTGGTGGGTTTGAACCACCAACCTTGGGGTCAGAAGTCGAATGCTTTAACCATTGTACCTACAAGACTCCTTTTGATTTTTAAAAACGAGAACAGATACAATTGGAGTTCATTGTGTACCTGCCCTCAAAATCCTACCTCTCCATTTGTCCCTCCCTCCACTGCCCAGCAGCCATCACTATTCTGAAGTTGGGGCTTGTCATTTTCTTGGTTATTTTTATATCATTACCATATATGTAAGAGGTTTAAGCAATGTATTACATGGTATGTTTTAAGCTTCATATAAAAGTATCATACTGCCTGTGCCTTTCTGAAGCTTTCCCCTTTATCAGGTTTTGAAATCCACATTGATACCTGTACCTCTTACACATCTATTTTAAATCGTGAATAGTGGTTTATAGTACTGTCGGAGCCCAGGTGGTATATGGAGTATGCTGTGAGCTACTAACCACAAACTTAGGGATTCGTAGCTCCCAGAGAGAAAGATGAAGCTTTCTGCTTCTATAAAGATTTAAAGTCTTGGTAGGGAATCCAGAAGAACAAATATCAAGGAGTTCAAGAAGAAAGAAAATATTTTGAAACTGATTGTGGTAGCAGTTATACATTGTTGCTTGATGTGATTGAACTATGGAATATTATGTGATATCTGTAAGAACTCCCAGTAAAATGATTTAAGAAAGAAAAAAAATTTCAAGTCTTAGAAACCCAAAGGACAGTTCTGCTCTATTCAGTAAGTTCACTCTGAGTTGTCTCCTTGTTGTTGTTGCTTTATTGTATCTTTACGCTACAGTGTTCATTCTACTCTCTGTGAATGAATTGACCTTCTTAGAAGCACAATTATGGTCAAGCTTTATGTAACAAAATATGTAGTGTTTCCTGGTGTTTTATGTACAGTGTAGTGACTTTGTATTCATGTTGTTCAACCATCATAATTGATTTGACCTTAAAGTTAAAGGAATAGCATACATTCACATATATATTATAAATTTATTAAGCCAAATAAGTTGGTAGTTAAAATTTGTAACCTCACTGTAATTTGTTAAAACACAGTTCTGCTCCCTGCCACCCTGCGTGTAAAGTCTTACCTTGGCCAGACATCAGCAGGCTGTCTCCTAGATGTGGGGGCAGATTGCAATCATGCTGGGGAGGACACTTAACATTGATGGGAAAATGGTAAATGCAACCTGATCCAGGAGTTCCACTGTCAGGCATCCATTGACAGATGTATCCTAACTACAAAGTGATGTATACAAAGTTATTTCAGCGTTGCTTGTAATTCCAAATGATAGGAACTAATTCGATATTTAAAAATGAAAACCAAAACGCACTGCCATGGAGTTGATTCTGACCCACAGTGACCCTACAGGATGGAGCAGAACTGCAACGGTAACTCCACAGCAGTAGAAAGCCTCATCTTTGTCCCGCAGAGTGGCTGGCGGTTTTGAATGGCTGACCTAGTGGTGAGCAGCCCAATTTTAACCACATCACCAGGGCTCCAATTAAATATGTCATAGTGTAATTAGGCAATATAGTGCTGTGCAGCCATTTTTAAAAATAAAATTCTATTATAACTAATATGAGAAGATCACCAAAATCAGTTTTAAAACACAATGCTTAAAATACACATAAAGTATTTATGTAATTCAAAGGATAAAGGCATTTGTGTATTTGTGTATCCTGTGCACAGATGATATCTCCGGAATAAAGTATAAGAACTTAATTAACCAGGGGAAGGGAGTAGAAAGATCCCCAGGGAATGATAAGGGTGGACATTGGAGACAGGGCATGGTGCCCCAACAGGCTAGACTGGAAAACACAAGTTTTTCTTGCTTGGTATATTTTAATTTGTTCTTCG